CCTCATGAAGTCCGAGAAGTGAGTAGAACATCTCTCACTATAAAACGATATGTGGTTATTTGTCAAATAAATTTTTTTCCGTAGTCCATTTAGTATATATGAGTTCAGTATACATCAGGCTCCTTGGAATCTCAATCCCCCAAATTCAGATAAATCCACATTTTTTAAAAGCTTATATTGAGTAGAATGTCCGCAATGGTCTACCTCGCACTTAGCTCAAAGTAAGTATTTCTCTAAGTCTTCAACTTTGATGGCGACCTTATTAGTTTTACTGGACACATCCTTGGTCAAGCGTCAAACATGTTATGAAATCCTCGAGAAAGCCATTCATCTTGGCCGATAGATGACATCACTCTCTTTATCTCCTAAAAAGCATGACCTAAGCCAAGTACTAGAGCTACCCAGACAAACCACTAAATACAAACCACCTCATGATATATACCATTTGCTAGATAAATTCGCCTGGATGAGTTTTCGCAGGCATCGATGATTCACTGCTACAAGAAACATAAACCCGTTGAGCAAAAGTTTATTCTGTTTCGTCCACAGTCACTAGGACTATTCGAATCATAGCTTGACATTAGATACCATCCCAAAACGTTACAGGCCTCAAGGCCTCCATTCTGATTAGCGGGTATTTTGTGCTCAGGGTTGCACCGACGCACCTTAAATAATGGAAAGGCCTTTACTTTCTCCATTTAGTCCTAATCTGCCATATTCTGCAAAAGAAAGATGGGTTTGCGTTTATCCTGCGTATTTAAATAATCGTCGTACAAGAGCTCAAGGGAGGAAATTGTCTGTGGAACACTGTGTTGATAATCCTAAGCATTCGGAAGTAACGATGATTTTGGGGAAGCTCTCTCTCGACTATCTGTTGGAGACAAAGGTTATTCTCATCTGTTTATAGTCCTTCATAGTTTTCAGGTCCATCCTAAGGAAAGGGATGCTTTCGAACCTATGAACAAATGGCGTGTCCGCGTCCATTTGAAAAACGATGATGGCAGTCCCGTAAATGAACAGTAATCGTGTCTTCTTTTTTTCTCAGCTTCTAGGTTTCCAAATCGTCAATCCCTTTTGTCATATTTGGGAAAGGCTCTTCCTGTAGTGCGGTCAAGAAGACCAGCCACATCAAGTTCTAGTACTACGGAACAAACCTTCCAAGGAAAGAAAAACAAGCGAAAAAGGAAGTGAATACATGGATTTAGAAGTTTGACATAACCTACTATCATGTACTTACCGTAAACATACTTTGTCTCGGGTGATTTTGTCCTTACTTATGGTTACTTCTCAGTGTTTTTACAATTGTCTTAGAATGAAAATATAAAAGATTGGTTGGTTGCTGATTTGTCTCAGTATTCATCTTTATGGGTGACTAACTAGCTTAAGACTGCTGATTGATAGTCTCATTATTATCTTCGTGTATGTACGCTGTAGTGTCTAATTGTTTCGGTGGTGTATATTTGTAGTTCATTCAATGTCGAACTGTCATAAAGCGATCCTAATATCTGTATAGTATGTAGTCATGGCATCTCATATAAGGGTCTTTTGTTTGTATGGCAAAATTTCACGTTATTCGGAAGTCACTTTCCATATATTATCATCCACACTTATTTCCACTTCAGGGAGCGGAGGCTGAAGTTACGAATTCCAAATTTCAACCACTAAATTTCAATGTTGATCTAGCTTTATTTACCCTGGTTTAGGAAACCCGGTTATTTTCGCTAATTTTAATCCATGTGTACTAATACCTACTTTGTAAATGAGTTGAATAAAATGTCCCACGTCAATGGTATATGAGATTATGCTACCTAAAATCGCTTCGATTGCCAACTTTAAATATGTAGGCTACAATACTTCAAGCTTTGGTAGGTTTGTCTCCATCTATGAGTTTTTGGCAATCGGATATTCACGTTCGTACTTAACTCAGAATTGATTACCCATTCGGATTGCTTCAGTAATGTTTCTATTCTCTAGTCTGGATGAGAATATCAGATGTTAATTTCTTAAACTGTGTGTTGTTCAGTAGCATCAGTATATTTTTTATCAGTTGTTTGGAATTGAAAATCATGCTGGTGGCATCTGGTAAGCTGCGAATATTGGACATTTTTGTCAGTCGAGTATTTTTGCGTTTCAAGCTTACCTGTTGAGATGGTGAATATTTGTAGCTCAGATGGATGATTTTGATAGAGTTTTGTTCTCTGAGCTGGATGGTTTGGTCGTGCAGCATTCATCGTTCCTCTGAACGACATCAGCACAAACTTCAGGTAGAAGTTTCTCTCAGAGGATTCGTCTGTTTGAATAACTGGTTAGTCACTTTCACAGATGACCTCAATATTCTACGTAGTTTGGTTACAGATGTTAAACTTCGTAAATATCCTGTTAAAGATGAGACTATAATTTATGGACGACTTCTGAATGACGCCAAAGTAACCTTGAGAATGTCCACCTACTAACTAGGACTCAATGAGGGTTATAAACTAGTGTGAGGAATTAGAATTGGAATTTACATTTGATGGTTAGGGTTAGGAATTAAATTTAGGGTTTTTATCATGAACTGACATCAGCTAAAATTCCAGAACTCTATTTAGCGATATAGATGAATAAGTTCCACGCCAAAAACCTAGACATGTTATCTTATATCTCGTTGGTTCGTCCATAAGTTATATTCTGGCCTTGTTAAAGCACAACGGTTAATTTCTCCATGTTGAACAACTGACGTTCTTAAGGTTTAGTAAATGTGTTAATAATAATTAACATGATTAGTCTGTCAGTTACCTCGTCTAACGGCTTACTGTTTAGACAAATAGGTTGCATTTTAGAGTGGTAAGCGTGATTTCTCCTGAAAACGAGTTTTGAAAGCCCTCACTAATATCTTTTATGGCTTTGTTTACTAAGGAAGAGAGACACATGTTCACAAAAGTACCCTTTGTATGTTGATAATAAGCAGGATTAATGCAAATCTCAATCTGTTTATTCAGTCTATTAGTTCTTGTCTTCTGAGGATTATCTGGGAATATCATGATTGTGGGAAACACTACGTAATTGAAGCTAGATTCAGGAACGAAGGTTTGTCGAACTAGGTTCCCACCACTCATCGTAAACTAAGACATCTTAGTCGAGGTCTCATTTTTATTTCGAGTGTAAATTGTAGTTGAGTAGTAATTATTGATTAATTTCATAAATCGATGAGGGATGTTACTTTTAAGAGACTCATTGTTACACTAGTTTTGATTATAAATTTAAAATATAATGGAGATTTTGCCTTCTAGAAGTTTATAAGTACAAGGATAGTTTCTGATATTTTACGCCTCAGTTGCTTTCTTGGTATTTTAATAAGAAACAACTGGTCATGTCAGATAGTTGGAGGAAAGCTACTTTTTGTAAATAATGCTGGTATTATCATAGGTCGTCGGAATATATATATATATATATATATATATATATATATATATTCAATTCACATAGTCACACTTTGAGAGTCTGGTATATACGGCCTTTTAATAAGAAATATTATATCGGGAGTGTTGTGTTGTCATGTTTTCAATAAACTCCCAACTGTCACCACTAATGCTTATATGATACATGAGTAACAACAACTGAGATAATTCTGGTGGAAACCAATCATTTAGCATTTAATTAGTCCAAATTAATAATCCGTAAAATTGGCCAGATTTAAGGTCAATTTTATGGATGATTAATTTGGATTTATAATTGTAGAACCTGATGAGAAATTATTGAAAAGAATATTCTTCGTTCATATAATTGTGTTTTAATATAATGGGGATTTTTCAGCGATTTAATTAGTCCTCGACAAAACAAAACTGAGAAAACCAAGCAGGTTTCAGTTTTAAATGTAGATGTGTTGACTAGATCTCTATTTATCGCTGTGTATTGGATTATAGACATGGTGACCTCATACTGTAGCCGTATTCCTTGATACGAAATGGTTCACTTCTTTCCCGATATGGAAATCTTTTAATGACGTTTTTTCGAAAGGTTTACCAAGGAAATACACCAATACACTACAGGCCCTCCAGTCAAAGTGTAGAGGAAAATGTAATTCGAACTGATAACATCAAGTAAAGTTAGGTCTGCTCACTTTCATACTTTTTATTTGGTTTCGTCAAAAATACTCCTGGAAGTGAGTCCTTCATAGCCAAGCTTTTCATGGGTTGATTTCTTACTATGAAACCCACTCGTTTAATGTATACGGGTGTTATATTCTTCCTTGGTAAGCGTGTTTGGAAAATCGGATCTTTTAGATGTCTCGATCGACAATGCAAGCATTTCTGCAATGTGTTTCACGACTATAAGTACGAATTATACTTTAGAGCTTGTCTTCACCAATGTTTGATATAGTTACACACTTCAGCTTGTATTTCATTTTTGGAAATCAGATTTGAATAAATTAACACATTTTTCCTTTGTATACCTTCTCATTTGGCGATTCGTTTTCGGTAATTCAGTTATGAGCAGACTAGGTGCATAATAAATTCTTACAGTGGTTATTTTATAACGTTCTTCTGTGAAGGTATTAAACAAAATTACACTGCTGATATGGGAATAGTGTGTACGTATATATACATATGTTATGTGGCGTAATTGGTCTCATTTTTAATTACTGTGTAACTTATATTGATAAGAAAGTATGAGAAACATAATTGACAGGAGAATGTGCCTATTTTTTACTTTAAATTTAGCACAATTTTTCATAGCTAAATAACAAGTTACGACAAAATCAGGTCTTTCTGATTGGATATTTGATATTCTAACTAGGTGTTTGATTTTAGTTTAACATTATAGTGTTCTAGATTTATTTATCAAATCAGTGATATTGTTGTGCAGTTGAATAAACATATACATGATAGCCAATAGAATGTCTGTGTTTTTTTGTCAATGTAATTAAGTTTATAAGCACCAACTGATTATGATACTTCATACTGATTATACCCGGCAACTTATAAAACATTGATGGATAATATAATAAATATTACTTAGTGATGCCAAAATTGGCTGATCAAGTGGATATGTAAGTGGTTACTGTTGAACCATAACATTCTTTTTGTTCGGAATTAAATTAACTTATTAATTCGCTTGACTTTTTTTTAGATGTGTGAGATTGTTTAGGAAAAGGAATTAATTCATTAAAACTTTCTTATTTAACTGTTAAAATCTAGATTAAAATGAATCGAACAGGATCGTAGTAGATATTATTATTCACTCACATTGAGATAATCTGAAATTGTGGTACTATTTATTTGACATTAGTTAGTTATTAACTTACCTAGTCGATATAAACTCTGAACATATATACATGTATATCGTTACACAGAACTCTGGTATTGACTATGAAAGCAGGGTATGCATAATAAGCGTTTTCAGATATTTGAAGGGTCTGTATATGAACACGTTAGGTAGTGAGGGTATACAACACTCGGTTGCCCGATATTTCCATTTTCCTTCAATGACGTATTGAAGAAAGCTCGGAAGGAAGTACATGTAATTGGTGTAGTTCTGTCGCTTTTATAATGACTAATTTCGAATATATGCACGACAGTATCATGCTATTATATGATAAACAGGTTATCTGAATGTCAGTTCTGCACATAAAGTCCTTTCAACTCGTTTAGGGTCTCACTTACTTAAAATGACATCTTTAATATTAACTTATATTAGTGCTATGGATGAGTATTCTATTGTCTGTTTTTCTCTTGTGTGTTTTCAGCCTCGTGAATGACTATTTTCAACACGACTTTAAAATTTCTTTTATTTGTTTCAACAAATCTAAATGGACTATAGCAATGTCATTTATTATTTAGTAGTACTTTTATAACCACATGTTTTACTGACTGGTATCCTTGTTATCGTAACTTAGCTAATCCTAACTGTTCTGTTTTGCAGTTTTAAGATGAAACTCATTTTCGGAATTCTCTAACGGCTAATAAAATTTTATTAAATTGTTTATCTGATGAATAGTGATTGTACTTAGTCCTTTCTTCAAATCCATCCGTTGGTATATTAATTCATCTTAATTTACTATATAAAATATTTAATCTAACTTCATTTGAAAAGAGTTTATTTATGCCCTAAAGTAAATAGAAATGAACGAGTTGTAGGCGAACAGAGTGATAAGTTGATATTAAGGCAATAAAATATATCTAAAAATAAGTTTAAGCATTAACTATATGTTCCAAGTGAAATAAAAGAATATGCCATTTGAACTGTACTTTGACATCTTAACGTCCCGACTATGAAAATTTGCAGATTGTAACAAGTAAACCAATTCAACTAAGTTTGTTACACAATACTTTATGATTCTCAACATTCGGCCTGTAATATGATAGAGGAAATAATTAAATATATACTGTAACAGCATGTCAGGGAGATTGTCGATAACCCCAATATGTTTCGTTTCGCAAATAAATCTGATTTGATGAAACATTCGAACTTAAGATATATGCCTGCATTATTAATAAAATTTTACTGTCATTATGAGGTTACGGAGATAGTCGAACTGAACTTGGGACCTTCAGTCGCTCGTGAACGCTTAACTTGTAGACCACTGAGCCGAAATCCAATTGTGTACTTCAGTCAATCCACTGTTATGCGTGACTATCTTCCACTTTCTTCAGTGGCTGCCTTCCGGTTGCAGTGTCGTGAATACACACTGCTGAGGAGTTGAAACAACCGTCCAGTGCTACCAGGTTCCCAACGGTTGTGTAACTTAGATCGACTCATGGTTTCAAATAAAAAAATTCATAATGATTGTATTGGAAGGTAATTATTTTTCTTTACTAAAACTATAAATAAAGAATGCGTTCATTGGTTTATTTCATGTTTTATTTTAGTACTCAATATAATTCAATTCCTAGACAATCTTCAATCCATTTATTTTTTGTGGATGAAAAAATATGAAATTCGGTTACATTTCTTAAGCATAATAGTTAAAATTTGGCTAAAACCTTCAAAATACTGGTAGTTTTATTATTTTCAATTTTATGGGTGTTTAATCGTGAAAGCGCATTGTATCAGTTTAGTAGTTAAACGTTTCTAATTTATTGTAGTGCTGCTTTAAAGTGACATTTTGGCTGATACAGTAAATTAGATCAATACACGTTCTGCAGTTCCAAAAATCGCATATCTTCTATTATATCACCTTTTTTTATCGACGTGTTTAAAATGAGGTCTGAGATCTAAATTTTGAAATATAAATAGCATAGATCATGACCTATTTATCAATAAAGTTGCTTTCATTTTGAAATAAAGCTATTTACACTTTATTTTCGATAAGTCGACTTACCTCGTTGTTGATATCTGACTAAATTTTAATCGCTTTTGGTTGACATATGCACATCATGTTCGAACTGCCTTGACAGTAAGCATTGTTTCGTTATTTTTTTTAAACAGATGAAATGTGGTTAGCAGCTCAATCCGACACGTGAATTTCTTCCTGTTTGAAACTCGTTAGCTAGATGTACCTGCATCTCAGAGTTGACGTCGACTCCGAGATTCAGACACGTCCAGCTAACAAACCATAGATAGGATGAAACGTTTGTCCTGGATTTCACTGCTAATCGTATACCATCTATTATATGAGAAAGGTGATAACTTTTTGTACATTTAGTAGCGAGTTACTACGGAGTGACGAATCGGGGATTATGATAAATCTTTATTTTTTTCTCTTAAATTTATTACTTGATATTGTTGACACGAGCTAATAAAAAGATCTTAAAGGGTTGGCGGGAGAACCGAAGTATACGTGTAGGGGACGAAGAAGAACAGTTACTGAGCCAATATTTCTTCAAAAATAGAAAAGTTTTCATATCACCTTACTGGTTTAGATGCGTCTATAGACGGAAAGTTCACCGCTTTTCGAGGATTTGTTATACGTCCATCAAGGAGTATACATAAAACCTGACAGTGTTATTGAAAAGCATTCAGTCTTGAGATTATAGATCATGTTAGCTTATTTTCGTTAGTGTTCCACGAAGGAATTCAAAGGAAATAAAACTAGTGATTGATTTAAGATCCGTAAAAATGCAGAACTTAGCGACCGAATCACACTAAATTCTTCATTATCTATTAAGTAAATTTATATCATTTTGCTATAAGTAATGGATAACATTAGAAATATCTGAAGTAATTTTCCAATTCTATGAGTTCCATAAATATTAGGTGGGTGTTCGGCTGTATTTAGTTAAACACTGTACTGAAGTAGCTGTTACAATTATTCATGAAGTTTTTTCCAAATTATCCATAATTATGAGTACCAGACTTAAAAATCCTTGTTTTTAAAATATCTCAGACCTCTTTATATCAATTCTTCCTAACATTTTGGCACTTAATAAATATCACAGAGCATTTTTCGCCACTTGTTGAAGTTTAATTTTCCTCATATAGAAGCTTACAATTTTTTATATTCATCTTGGCTTCTGTCCATTGTTTTTTTCTAAATATTAAAATGATAGTGTCACGAGCTCTGGTCAGTCATTAGTAATATTTCAGATTGTGAGGTTGTAAAATGTCTAATTAAGCTAACAAAATGTTGATTGATTGCAAGGGTGGTAACATATATTTGATTATTCCCTACTGTTACTGGTCTAGTTCTAACGATTAGGTTGACTAATATTTTAGTTAAAATCTGGGAGTTGGAAGTAATCTCATCTGATTGGTCTCAATCACTGATTGTCCCAATATATAAGAAGGGTATTTAAGCGAACAATTGTTTTCAATAATTTCATCATCAGGCTCTACAGTTATAAGTCCATAATTATGATATTTTACAAAGGGTTATAAAAAGGTTAAAGTCATCCTATGATAACCATAAAGGGATTAGTTCGACTGACATAGCATCTAAAATACAAGACTCAATAATTTTCGGGTGCCTAACAAAGACACGTGAACTGCAAACACGAGAAAATCAGGTTGTCTTCAGACCTGATCGTGGCTGCATAGACCACATATTCACCATTCGTCAGATTCTAGAACACAGACATGCATGTTGGCGTCCGATAACGATGGTTTTCCTTCACTTAAAAGTAGCATCTTACTTTGTAGACCGAGAGGTCCTGCGGCAGTGCTTGTCATTGAAAGACGTACCTCAGAAGCGCATAAACCTTGTTAAAGCCCTTTACTCGAACACTAATAGTTGAGTCAGGGTTTATGGCGAACTGTCATCTGCTTTTGCAACCTCAAGTGGTATCTGTCAAGGCTGTCCACTTTCTCTATTTTGTTCAGTTTCATTATAGACTTACTGTTGGAAACGACAATTTTCGGGCATCAATCTCCTTCCAGAAGGTCAACTTATCGACTTAGAATACGCAGATGACATAGTTCTGTTTGGTGAAGACGCTGATAAAATGCAGATTCTTTTGGTAGCACTAGACAAAAATACCAGGATGTTTGAAATGCGTTTCACCATTCTCTACATGCAAGATTTTGCTTCAGGATTGGCCTGCATCAACACCTGAACTAAGGATAGGGAGTGAAGTAGTCGGACACGTTGACAACTTCACTTATATTGGAGGTTTGATCAGCCCCAATGGGTTGGTGTCTGACGAAATCTCAGCACGGATTCGAAAAGCTCGTTTGGCTTTTGCCAACTTAAGTCACCTATGGCGAAGGTGATATCCGTCTATTAATTAGGGGACGAGTATACTGTGCGGCAGTTCGTTCTGTTTTAATTTGCGGCTGCAAAACGTGGTCATTAAGGGCAGAGGGCAGACGTAAGTTACTAGTATTTGATCACATATGTCTTAGAAATATTGTTCAAATCTTCAGGGATCACTGGGTAGGTAATAGTGAAGTTAGACGCAAGGTATTAGGGAATGATGATAAATCAGTTGATGAGGTTGTGAATCTTCATCGACCGAGATGGTTGAGCCATGTATTACACATGCCCAGCCACCGACTACCACAGCTCACAATGCTAATCGGTGTTGGGGATGGTTGGAAGAAAGTTAGGCGCGGCTAAACCAAAACGTGGCATCAGTGATTGAAGTGACTAACTTCTGGTCTGAGCTATGTTGG